GTACTGTACATTTTATATTCTTAATTTTAAACAAGGGTCAAGTCATATTAAGGCAGGGAGCTGGTATTGGTTAACATTGCAGTACTCAGACAGTGATGTACAAGACATTTATTTGCAGTATGATGACAGTGATATAAGTGGAAAAACCAAAACTGACATGGTTAATATTAAAACTGTTCAGACAGCAATTCACATAATCTCTGAGATACAGCTTCTTTACTTGTTCGTAGTGTGAGCCTGTACATCTGAAAAAGAACATAAAGTTTTACTTACTTTTTAAACATTTTGGTATTAAATGAGTGCACAGTCAACTAGTGAAAACTAAGTTAACTCCTACTTGTTTTGTAAGCTTTGGTAGGAAAAAGAGCTCAAATTAAAGCATCCAGAGGCAGCCAGCCACGGAGTAATACAGCTTTTTCAAACCACTGGCTGAAACAAACTCATTTTAAAACCCCTGTAGAGAATAATTCTAGTATTTTTAGCCTTTAACAGAAAGGTGTTGTCCAAAATTTTTCTTTAAGAGGAGTACATGCTGTGGAAAAGCCTAAAGACCCTCTACCACCACTTCTTCAGGAAACAGAAGACTTACCACCCAAAAATTAATTTTAGTCCTTAGTTAACATTGATAAAACCTCTATCAAAAAAGCCTGAGTAAAGATATCCTTAACATTGTGTTCACACTTTCTCTTTTAGCCACTCTTTTACTAATTTAAAATGGCAAAAGAAAGCATACTTCATCTTGTCCGAGGTGCACAAGACAAAAACATTCAATTTTTCCAACCTTCAAGAGAAGATGAGACTTCAGGGACAGTCTGGAATATTACAATGATCTCTTCTAACAGGAAAGAGAATTGCTATGAGGAAGCAGCTTCCCAAGATGGTATAATGCAATGCAGGACCAGCTGCTACGATTTAATTTCTTGTTGGAGTCTGCAGTCACAATCTGCTAGTGCAATAGTGATTTTGAAATACCTTAAGGAGCTTCAGATACACACAGATAGTTTGTTCAAATGAGAACCTGTATTTAAAGCTGTAGATAGTTACACAGATACCTGTGCCTGGAGATTGGGTTCAAGGCGCAGCAAGCATCCAATCTGAGTAGTTTTTGTATGTATGATACCAGCACCAACAAAGTTGGCAGGATTGGGATCTACCTCCTCAAGCAGCGCTGATCCAAAGCCTATTATCTATGAAAGAAACACAGAAGATTCAGATGTGGAGAGAGTGGGACACAAATATCAAGTCTACCCATACACAGCCACCACCAATAGCAAAACAAGTAGGAGGCTAATTTTTAAGTCCTCAAGACAAAGAATTCTCCAATATCAATTTAATTACAACAAATTTTTGAAGAATGACCCTGCTAATGAGCTGTTCCTGTAAATAAGGTTCTTCTCAAAAGCAACTGAGAAATAAGATTTAACAGAAGTCTCCCCTGGTTTTGATACAGCCATTCCTGTCGTACACTAGTTACTTCTGCTTTGCCTAAGATAGCCAGTTCTACAAAAAGTGACTTTTCTAACAAGCCCACTTGTTTTCTAAACATTTCCAAGGATGGAGATTCCACCACTTCCTGTATTATGGTTTTATCTATCTTAATATCCCCATGGTGCTTCTTTTCTTATTTAGTGCT